CGAAGGCGCTGCGTAGAGGCGCACCACGGGGAGCTTGCTGCCCACGCCGAGTGCCAGCGCGAGCTCCTCGGCTGGGGTGGGCACGCCAAAGGGTGGGGGCTGCGGTCTCGGCCACGCCGTGCCTCCCCAGAGGAACGAGGACGAGGCACGGACACCGCGCCTGGCCAGGCGCATCCTGAGCCCAGGACGGTCCTGGATAGGATCGGTGTGTGTGTGTGTGTGCCTGTGCCTGTGCCTGTGCCTGTGCCTGTGCCTGTGCCTGTGCCTGTGCCTGTGCCTGTGCCTGTGCCTGTGCCTGTGCCTGTGCCTGTGCCTGTGCCTGTGCCTGTGTTCGTGTCTGTGTCTGCGTGTGCGTGTGCCTGTGTGCCCGTGTGTGCATGGCCCTCCTCTTCCGACCCCCACGCCCCCCCACCCCCGCCCCCTCCCCTCGCTCACCGCCCCCCTTGTCTTCCCTCCCCTGCCCCTCGCGCCCCCCCCCCCCCTCCGCCGCCCTGTCCCCCGAAAAGCCAGTCCGGCAGCGGTCTTCCTGAAGCTGGGCCTGGAGGCCGCACTCCCCATCCCTGGGACGGGGGCCCGCCACATGCGGAGGCCGTGGCAGAGCGAGACGACGTGACGAGGTCGGGCACACGCATCGGGGGTTGCTAAGGTGCCCCCAGCTTTCCGCTCAATGTTTGGAGCCCCTGGGTCCCTCTGGGCCTCGTGAGGGGTGCTCCCTGGAGGTCGCGGGGGGTTCCCCGGAGATCCTGGTGGCACCTTGGGCCAGGGGCACTTCTAGCAACACCCGAACGCAGGAGGAGGAGGAGGAGGAGGAGGAGGAGGAGGAAAAGGAGGGGGGAGGAGGGGGGAGGAGGAGGGAGAGGGAGGAGGAGGGAGAGGGAGGAGGAGGAGGAGGAGGAGGAGGAGGAGGAGGAGGAGGAGGAGGAGGAGGAGGAGGAGGAGGAGGAGGAGTGACCCTCGGCAAGGGTGACCCGTGGTGCGCGGCTTGAACAGGCCGCGGGGAAGCGAAAGCCGAGCGCGCCAGCACCTTCTTGAAAAAGGAGCGAAAAACAACCAAGATCTACTCCATCGGGGGGAGAGGGGGGGGGGGCGAGAGCCCGCGCCGATCGTCAAAACAATGAATAAAAAAAAAACGACCCGAGGCTAGCCGGCGAGGCAACTCGGGCGCGACGCGCGGGGGGGGGGTCGCCCCCACTCGCTGGACAAGGCGAAGGGGACTGACTTCGGGGGGATCCCTCGTCGCCCGCGGCTTCGCCCCGTGGCGCAGAGGGTGACCCTGAACCGGTTCTGCGAGGAGCCGTTCCGCTCGGACCCGAGGGCACCCCGGAGGCAAGCAGGGTGTCTCTTGGCATGGGTCTCCACCGCAGACACGCGCCCCGCCCCCCGCCCTCCCAACGGGGGGGGGGGGATGGCGCGAAGCGGGGCGGCCATCCGAGGAGGCGGGGCGGCTTCTCGGAGGGCGGGCGGCTTCTTTTGAGCCCTCTCGCCCCCCAAGGAAGACTTAGGTCGGGCATGGACCCGAAGGCTCAGCTCTGCGGCTACCTAGACGGTTCCTGCCTGGCGGTGGGCGCCGCGCGGGCCGCGCTCGCCCTCAAAGCCCTGCAGAGGGCGCTCCAGCCCTTCAGGTTGCGACCGAACCCGACAAAGACGGCTCCCTAGATGGGGTCCGAGTAGATGGGGTCGAAGCATCGCGCCGCATGGCCAATGCATCGCCGATGTGTCGGCGATGCATCGGCGACGTCGGCGATGCATGGGCGACGTTGGAGTGGGGAAACGAGGCCTCCACCTCGAGCCGCATCGTCGATGCATCGGCGACGCGGCGCGACCCTCCGACCCCACCTGCTCGGACCTGTTACGGCCCAGTAAGACGACCGGCGTGCTGACCCCCCCCCCATCGCGACAAGGCGTGCGTCGCGCATTCGTCGCCCGTGCACCGCCCGTGCGTCGGCCGCCGAGAAGGCCAGCCGTTCTCTCGAACGTGCACGTCGCCCTCGCAAGGGGGCAATTTGGTGAGTGCGTCGCCAGCGCGGCGGGCACCCACCGGGCGGATCGCACGCGCGTCGCCCGCTCCACGGCCCAGAAACAAAGACGGCCGCTCGGTCCCCGGCCGGGCGCGACGCTCTGACGGCAGACCGGCAGCCGCGTGGGCACCTGATGTCGCCCAGCGCGGCGCCGAGGGCAGGCGCGCCCACCGCCTCCGGGAAGCCGGCGGGCAGCCGTGCCGAGGCAAGCCTGAGATCCTGGCGTCGCAACGTTTTCACAACGGGCGCCTGCCCCCACGGGGCGCACAGAGACATACTAATACAATCGGTCCTCACAGGAGGCGCGCGTCCGACCCGAACATATAATATACCCATCTTGTAGCATAGCGTGTTTCCCGAGCGGTGTGGCCAGAAAGCGCCGGTCACGACGCTTATACTATAAGATGTTTCGGTTCGCGCGTCGCCCCCGGGGGGCGCCGCACACATGCTATTAGTATTAGTATGTTAGGGTGACGCCGACCCCAGTTTCGGACCCCAGAACCCTCACAGGTCGATGCAGCTCGAGGAAGGCCGCGGAGAGACAGGGTCAAGGGCTCCGCTCGCGAATTTTCCGCAGCGTCGGACCTGAGGGACGGGGGAGATTCCAGGGACTCCAGAGCGGAAACATCTACAACATGCGGGGCCCAAGAAGCAAGCCGCGAAAGCCCTCCTCCGCGCCTTCGGCGGGCCAGCGGGCCAGCACTCTCTGAAAATGGATCTCGCCACGGACGCCGCAACGCAGCAGTACGACGACCTGCTGGCGAGCTGCTGTGGGACCTCGTGGAGCGGATCCTGAGCGACGCAACTTCCAGCCCGAGCAGCTGACAACAGCGCGCCGCGGACTGCAAAGCCAAGGGCTTGAGCTCGCGGCCGGGGCGGGGCCTGGCGACTGCGCTTGCGCTGCACACGCCTTTTTGTCCTTATTGGTGTCGTTGTTGTCGTTGTTGCTGTTGAATGTCAATTACTGAACATTTTTTATTGTTGGACCCCCCACCCCAAGCGAATTGACGCTCTCGACTCGGCGCTGGCTACATGTTCATTGAAAATGAGGCTCACGCTCGAGCGCTTTGGGGGGGCGTCAAAACGGCCCCCCCCCCCCAGCAACGACAGCGCCGCTCGAGAGCTCCTCTTTTTTTACTCAGGGCCATTGCTCTTGCTCGCCGCCAAAAGCCGCCGTCCCAACAAAACCAGCGTTACCGCTCGTGGCTTCGCCCCGTTTTACCTTAGACTGGCGCGCTACTGCTTCTCTCATGGGCACCGCCCCCAGCAACAACAACGTTCTCGCTCGAGATGTCCTCCCTTCATCCCCATATCCTAAGATGCGGCTCTTGTTATTTCTTGCACGCCGCCGACTCCAGAGAACAAGAACACACCCTGAACACAGACTTACTCATGCACAGACTTACTCCTATTCAGACTTACTCATACCCAGACGTCCTCCTACACAGACTTACTCATACCCAGACTTGCTCATACACAGATCTACTCATACGCAGACTTACTCATACCCGAACTTACTCATACTCATACCTATTCATACTCAGACTTACTCATACCCAGACGTACACATACACAGACCTACTCATACACAGACTTACTCATACTCAGACTTACTCATACACAGACGTACTCATACACATACTTACCCGCATTCAGACCTACACATACTCAGACCTTCGCATAGTCTGAGTTACCCATCACACGGCAGATTTTGAGGATGTCTCAGGCGGGGCGCTGGCTTCAGCACCCCTAAGGGGAGCCGCCAAGGGGTATATCACGGGCCCGTTCACAGCAAGTTTGCGGGGATGTCTCAGGCGGTTTGCCTGTTTCGGTGCCCAACATCGTCTGCGTCTACAGCAGATTTGAAACATGTCTCAGGCGGGGCGCTGGTTTCAGCACTCCCAAGGGGAAGCCAGCAAGTTGCTGTTTCCTTGGGTCGTGCTCCGGCACGTACCCTCTGGGACGCACGGAAGATGGAGTCGAAGCAGGAGTCGAGGCGTGCTGGTCCCTTGGGTCGTGCTCCGGCACGTACCTTCTGGGACGCACGGAGGATTGAGTCGAAGCAGGAGTCGAGGCGTGCTGTTCCCTTGGGTCGTACTCTGGCACGTACCGTCCGGGACGCACGGAGGATGGAGTCGAGGCGTGCTGGTCCCTTGGGTCGTGCTCCGGCACGTACCCTCTGGGACGCACGGAGGAAGAAGTCGAGGCGTGTTGCTCCCTTGGGTCGTGCTCCGGCACGTACCCTCTTGGACGCACGGAAGAAGGAGATGAAGGAGGATGCGTGCTGCTCCCTTGGGTCGTGCTCCGGCACGTACCCTCTGGGACGCACGGAGGAAGGAGATGAGGCGTGCTGCTCTCTTGGGTCGTGCTCCGGCACGTACCACGTGGGACGCACGGAAGAGATTGCAGGAATCAGGACCTGGACCACACTTTCCGTCCATTGGAATCGAAAACAGGGGACATGCTGTCGTTTTTGTGGGTTTTGCTTTCCGGGGATGTCTTCGATTTTTTGGCATGAGGGTTCACGTGTCTTCGTCGGGCCTGTCGCCAACATGGGCGCACTCTTATAGTCAGACACTCATGAATAGACGCTCACTACGGCATAAGATAAAGCATGAGATGCACATATGGGGAGCTCCACGCAGTGAGTAATTTACTCAAGGCGGTGCTGTTCCTCGCCGCCGAAAACCGCCGTCCCGACAAAACCAGCGCTCCCGCCCGAGACTTCCTTCCGTTTTACGCTGACTGCTCTCTTTTGAATTGGCGCCGCTCCCAGCAAGAACAACGCTCCCGCTCGAGGCTCCCTCCCTTTTTCCTCAGGACGGTGCTGTTTCTCGCCGCCGACAGCCCCCGTCCCAACAAAACCACGGCTCCCGCACGAGACTTCCTCATCCTTACTCAAGGCGGTGTTCCTCCTCGCCGCCGACAACTGCCGTCACAACAGAACCAGCGCTCCCGCTCGAGACTTCGTTTTGCTTTACGCTGAACTAGCGCCCTACTCTCTTCAGCATTGGCGCCGCTCGTAGCAACAACACCAGCCCTGCTCGAGACTTCCTCCCTTTCTATTCAGGGCCAGGTCCTTGCCTCGCCGCCGACAGCCCCCATCCCCACCAAGGCAATCCTGTCGCTCGATACTTCCTTGTGCTTTACCCTTGGCTTGGGCTCCACTGGCGGTCTCGCATCGGCGCAGCAAGGCGCGGACATGCGTTCTCGAGGCGAGATATGATGAAATCCCTCGGAGGAGGTGTTTGCTGGGCGGGAGATCTGGAAATGGGAATAACGGACCCCGCTATAGAACAATTATTCCCCATGATGAGGATGGTTATCATGATGGTCGCATGCTTCGTGTGGAAACATCGCGCATGAGGTAAAATGATTGTTGTTGTTGCTGTTGTTGTTGGAGAGGGGGGGCCCGGTGCCCCTCGTGGGGGCTGTCCAGCGCCAGACTCAGACCGACGATACACCCATGCGCTCAGCAACAAAATGGTGAGCTCAAGACTTCTAGCAACAAGCCGCAACACAAGCCCGAATTTCCCGCCCCGAATTTCAGCCACGCTCGCAAAACAGACGGCTGTTCTGGAGTCCGCGACGAGAGGGTAGGGAGGGAGGACGAGGAAGAGGAGAAACAAGACGCTGGATGGCGAAGGATACGAATCAGCCCTACAACGTATCATCCCCGCGCCTCAGACGCCCCTGAAACAAGGCGTGGCCAAGGAGACGGCGCAAAGGAGACAACGAGCAGCTCTGCGGCGACGCTTGCACCCTCCCCGACACGCCGAGCTGCCAGGCGCAACCGGGAGCTGTGGCGGCGGCATCCTGGCCTACCTGGAAAGCGCGTTCTGCACGCTGGAGGACGCCCTCTGGCAGGGTGTGGTGAGGCGGCGGCTGCAGCTCCCGCGCGCCGAGCTAAGCCAGCAGGATCTCGCGACGGCGGCGGCCGCTCGCTGCTTACGCGGAGCCGACAGACCTGGCTGCGACGAAGCGCTGGACGAGAGCGGCTACCAAGCCCTGCCTTGCCAGCTGGGAGGCGGCGTGGTGGCGCGCCCCTGGCCGCCAGGATCCTCCACCGATGGCGCAGCGAGCGGCCCATCTTCGAGCAGGGGGTGTCGCCCTTGGGCCCGTGGGCACCCCGACGGCCAGGTCGAAAGAGCCATCCTGGATTTTGGGGTGCCCCAGGACGACGAGGGGCGGAGGTGGCTCGACGTCTCCGCCCGCCGCCCCGCCTGCCGGGGCGCACGCCGTGCTGCGGGGGGCCGCGCCAGGCTGCCGACCTTGGTCCTCGAGGCGGGTGGGCCGCTCGGCGGGGAGCCACGCCTCTGCTTTGGTCGGGCAAGTGCGCCCGCTGCTGCCCAGGACCGGCCAGCAGCCGCGGGCGCTGGCGCGCGCGCCTCCGAGCTCGTCCGCTGCAGGCCCTGCAGGCCGCAGCCGCGCGCCAGCTCCGCGAGGCGGCCGGCCTGCGCTCAGCGGCACGCCGGGCAGCAGGCGGCCCGCGGCCGCCGCTGCGGTGGCCCAGGACGCAGGCGAGGCGCCAGCGCGGCTCGCTGCCTCGCGGGGCTCGGGGCCGCCGCGGCGGCCCGCCGCGCGCCGGCTGCGCGGCGGGGGGCTGCGGCCGGCGGCCCTCGGCAAGCACCGCGAGCTGGACTCTCGGGAGGCGCTCGCCCCTTCCTGGCCTCCGAGGCGACGTGCTTTCTATCCATGCCCTGCTGCCTCTGGAGCCCAGAGTTTGGGGGCAGTGGCAGGGGCATGGAACGAGCGTCGATCGTCGACTCCAGGCGCCGCAGGCGGGCCCTTGGCGCTGACCAACGGCGCGCCCGAGGAGCGCCAACTCGCCATCCTCGCTCTCGCCCTGGAGGTCCCAGGTAGCGCAGGCCAGAAGCACCGGCCAGCGCAACCCCCCTCGGGAGCGGCCGTTGTTCAACGCCCGTGCCCAGCAACGATTGCTCCTGGAGGGGCGGTGCTGATCACTGAGGGCTTGCACTGGCCCCCAGCCAGGCCTCGTAAGGACAAGCAGCTTGGACAAGCATCCCTCCTCCTTCCCCCTCCCAACCCCTGTCCTCAAGACCATCAGGGCGTCCAAGCTGGCCCTGGATGGCCCCAGGATGGACCCAGATGGCCTGGCATGGCCTCCACCAAGTTGGTCGAAACGGCCTCTAAGATGGCTCCCCCTGGTGCGCCTTCCCAAAGCCTAGCCGCGGTCGAGAGGGGGCAAATGGTCGAGGGCGAGGGGGCGGCCTGGTGAAAAGGCCCCCCCGCCACGCACTTTTTCAGTCGCGGCGCGGCAGAGGCGAACCGCTCGCGCGTCCAAGCAACCCGGGCCTCGGCATTGCGAACTGTCCCGCATGCAAGAGTAGAGGGAAAGAAGAGAGCCGGCAGGGCAAACAGCCTTCACTGGAGGCTGGCCCCTTCTGAGAAGCACTCCCCAGTGTCCCCCCCCCGCGCCGCCAGAATATGGCTATTACACCAGAGAACAAAACCAATCAGTGGATGGTTTGAAAATTAGAAATATGGATATCTTGAGATCGATTGTGAGATCGATAACGAAATCGATAGTGGAATCGATAGCGAGGACGATTGTAAGGTCGATCGTGAGAACGAGAGTGATATCGATTCAATGAGATCGATAGTGAGATCGGTCGTGCGATTTATGGTGAGATCGATAGTGAGATCGATAGCGAGATCGATAGTGAGATCGACTGCGAGATAGATGATGAGATCGATAGAGAGGTGGGTAATGAGACCAATGGTGAGACCGATGGATAACAAGATCGTCCAGGAACCTGGGAACCTGAGAACCCGGGAGCCCCGCCGCCCAACGAAATCGGCCCGGGCTCCGGAACCGGGAACCCGGGAACCCAGAACCGGGAAACCGGGAACCTGGCCGCCTACCGGAATCGGCCCGGTACTTCCGCCAAATCTTTCAAATATCCGCTAGGACCCCTTCAGTGCAAGCACTGATTGGGGAATATCCACTGCCGCTGGGTTGTGTTCCGAGGACTCGTGGAGCGGTGGATATGGAGATCTGCCCGCCCATTCGAGCGGGCGGGCATCTATTCGTATCCACCGCCCCTCGAGATCCTGGGGCACGACTCCGAAGCGGCAGATGTGGACAGAATTTGGCGATGGATTCTGAGAAGCACTCCCCTGCGTATAGTAGCGGCCCGACCACCAGAAGCCTTCCACGAGAAACCCAACCCTGAGGCCCCAGGACGTCCATCAATGCTTGGTGTGGGAACGTCGCGCTCTCCAGCACAAACCCATCGAGGCCCAAAGAAGCCCAGGGCACCCTGGAGGCAAGCAGGACGTCTCTTGACATGGGTCTCCACCTGCAGGCACGCGCCCAGCCCTCAGCCTTTCCAAGGAGAAGGGGATGGATGGCGCAAGGCGGGGCGGCCTTCCGAGGAGGCGGGGCGGCTTCTCTGGCGGGCCTGTCTTCCACCGCCACCACCACAAGAAGGAGGGGAAGAGGG